ATTTTTGTAAGCGAGTTTGAGGCAGTAGATGCTATGCACGAATGGTGCGAAGAGCCCGTAGGCTCCAAACCGCCGAGAGCCGGACAAGATTGGACGTGGGGTGCGAACGGCCAGTTCATGTCAGAACTAGGCGTGTTAGCTGCTGCTGAAAGCGCCGTGATGGCCACAGAGGCCATTGAAGGTTGCAATGATGGCGACGAGGAACTGTGTCGGCCGGGTCCTGTTAATACAGAAGAGCCATCTGTAATTGACCTGGCACAGTCACCATGCATGTTGGTCGCCATGGCCGCTTACTGTGATGTTCACAGTGCAACCGGCCCGGCAGACGAGGACCCCTGTACAGACGGCTGGACAGAGGCGTGTGCTGACGCACACTGTGAGCTAGGCAAGGTTGGGGCAAGTAGTTCTTCCAGGTCCAAAGCGGCGCAACCCTGAGGAAGACGCTTGCATTGCACAGCATTCAGCCAAGTTTTCCCGCAGGTCAGGGTGTCCGCAAGTTAGAGAAAGACACCGGCTGTATAGACAGCACGGCAGATGAGGCAGACGAGACAATTTCTCCTTTGCAAATGATGCAAGCGGACTTCCCGAAAGCGATCACTGTGCAACGGGCAAAGAGAAAAGAGACGCCGCAAAAACAGAAGGAAAACGAAAGGTGCCAAGCAACCCGGAAAATCGCGAATTGCCAAACAGCAATCAACGCAAGGAAAGCTTCGTCTGTGGCATTCACCAGTAGAATGGGTCCCCACGCTTTAAAACCGCCCGACAGGTACAGGAGGCGGGCATTTGTTCGTGGTGCTCGGAAGAGCCCACCCCCTTCGCTCCATTGTCCTGTTCGAAGCGCGGGGCGCATTGCGAACCAGCGCCTTTCGGCCGAGCGACAACGACGTGGTTCGGAGACCCGTTTCCGTAGAACGCTGTGTGGACGATGGCTTGCAACCACGGGGCAAACTAGCGGCAAACAGGCGTCTGGGTAGCGGCCGTCCACTGTGTTGTTTGTCCTGGTCGCTTCGAACAGCTCTCGCAAGAGGGCGACCACCTCGAGCGCGGATAGAAGTTGCGTTCATCGAAACGTCAACGTTTAAGGCAAATGACTTATTTTTTTTTTGAAACAATATTGATTAGTGTTTTTCGATTTTGGAGCAATCCATAAATTGGGGGTCCCAATAGCTTAGTTATTTCATTGGCTTTCTTGTGTCGTCTGTGTGTTTGTAGACGATGTTCTGTTGTTTCAACTTATCACCCGTTCAGTTAGGGAAGCTTTGTTTTAGGGATGTTATTTTAATTACTTGGGCTTTTTTGTTTTTAAGAGACTGGTTGGTCATACAATCGAAGTGTACCACGGTACGCATTTGTGATGAACATGGCGCTATGTTATTCAAGGCTTTCCTTTCTATTATTATTTTGAAATGAAGCGCTTTAGTGTGCATCAAGTTCAGGAACTGCGCACAGGCGATCATGCCGATTCCTTTCTCATTCATCTTCTTCGAAAGCTGCGCGTCAATGAATTACTTATCTACATCGCTTATAGCGTGTATGTTTGAATATGTGGCACCAAAGGATGCTTACGTGCCTTAGCTTTGAAAACTATTTTTGTCATTTTCTTTTCGTATGTGTGGCCATGGCCTAGTGCGCGAGACACTACTTTCGTCATGGCGTGACAGTAAAGTGCGGGGCGTCTTGGATTCTGTGCGGTGTCGTCCACGTCTGTGAAATGGCGTGCGAAAAAAAAATAAAGCGCATTGGTAGACGACCGAAACACCGAGAGCTCTCGGACAGTGGACATTCATGATTTCCTTGAATATTACGCAGCAATATTCTTGATTGATTGATTTGTGGGGTTTAACGTCCCAAAACCGCTATTTGATTATGAGAGACGCCGTAGTGGAGGGCTCCGGAAATTTCGACCACCTGGGGTTCTTTAACGTGCACGCAGCAATATTCTTTAGGAGGGGGCTATGTCACAAACGAGTGCAATTTTCGTTTCGCCCGCGCGCCCCATCGTCCAAGGAAGGGTGCTTTTGTGTTGGGAAGAGGACATACGGCGACTAGCGACACAGAAGCGGCCCCTCCACGTGTTCCCTACACTTGTACCGAAAGGAGGGACATGTGTTCGAGGAAAAAGAAATGACCTCGAGAGGGGACGGAATGTCCCGAAAGAGTTTTGACTGCTTTGAAATCGAGTTCAGCGGTTGACGTGCAGCCAGCAAGAAGTGCGGTCGTCGTTGTCGCGAGTCTCGCGTAGGCGGCGAGCAAGGAGTGACCCGCGCAACGTATCGAGACGGATGCAATACCGGGCACCCTCGTCGTCTACTAAGCTGGCGAGATCTTCAGCGACACCTCGTCAACTCTACTACGTGTACCAAGAGCTGGCCTGGTCCGTATAGAACTTTTTATTGTGCTTTTTTAAAACTGTTCTTTTATTATAACCAGCTTTTAATTAATTGTAGTGCGAGCTGCGTCGCACGCAAAAATTCAGAAGCGCGACCATGCTGGTTTTTTTTTTTTGGAAATTTTCTCTGTATCTCCTTCAATTTCCGCGACCATGCTGGTTTTTTTGGAAATTTTCTCTGTATCTCCTTCAATTTCATCATATTCTTATATTTTATTATCATTCCACGTATTTGTCTTCTTTGTACCTCTCGTAGTGTTCTTTTAGAGCTAGCATCGTTTGCTTTGTTGTTCTTTTCATCGCGTATTAGTGTTTGCCCTCTCTTTTTGTAATCTCCTTGCCATTACCCTTGTTTTAATTAAATGATTGCTTGTGTTTAAGCAAATCTCCGTGTCTGCTCTGCAAGTGCGTCGGTCAGGCCCAGACCTCACCACACGTGCAACCCCGCACGGGTCAACCAACCTGCAAATAAATTTGAGATGTGCCACTTCGAGGCCTTTCAGGCGTCGCAGGCCGAAGCGTAAAGTGGAAGCCTGCGAGTGTGCCGCACGTCGATGTTGGATCGGCGGGGCCTCACCCAAAGTGTGTGACAGTCCTCATACATTGTTATGAGAGACACTTTGAAATTATTTATCTTAAAGTATTAGTTCTGCGTGGTCGTTGACGAATAGGCGATCTCACTGAGACGTTGTCATTGGCAGAAAGTAATCGAAGAAAAGGTTCGTCTGGCAACTTGACACTTGCGGTCGGTTCGCGTTGACGTGTAAGTGGGTCGCGAGAAAAGCTCGTTTCATCGGCGAAACTAAAGGTCCGTTCGATTTGCCTGCACCACGTGAACCAGTTCACGGGGTGCTGCACTTTGCCGTTCGTTTCAGAGGTGCAGCATTGACGACCTCTTAACCCTGCCATTCGTTTCAAAAGGTGCAGAAGAGATGCAGCATTGGTTCATGATTTTCGTGCACCTCCTACGCTGATGGTGCCGGCTTGGTGCAGCCGCGCGTGAAGCTGAGCAGACGACACAGCACTCTACGACCCGCCTCTACTAACGCGGTGTGTTTTGCCAAGATGTTTGCGCCTCATGAACTGTCCACATGTGCGGTTCGCCATCGTTCAGTGTTCACTGAACGGTGTAAATTAAGCGAACAGAAATAAGGCCTGCACCTTGTTGGCACATCGTCATTCGTTTCGGGGGTCGCGCTGTGCCTGCACCGTTGAACTCGCGCTGCACAATTTTGGAACTTCGCGTGCACAGCCGTGAACCGGTTCCGACTGGTGCAGGTGAATCGAACGGACCTAAAGTTAGCCGTAATTTTTACACGCGTCTTTCAGAAAAACTATCATCATCATGATAAAGGGGTGAGTGTCACAAAAATTGGCTAATTCCCACTACTAACAACTGGCCCACTAAAAATGAGGAATGCCGTAGTTAGCCGAACATATGGCAGCGGAGCGATGTCGGCGACCCGAAGAGCCCGAGTACGACGAACGAGATGATACTAGAGAAAGGCAAAAGCAATGACGGCTACGAGAAGGTCCCGAAGCGATGGAAGGTCTATATGCCAACGGCCACGTGCTCGTAGGTCGAAAGCTTGGTTTCCGTGCGAATTTCTGTCTGGTATGTGGACATTCAAGTCTGCGTGACCGTCTGTGGTTTAACGCGAATCTCTCTGCTATACGAGAATTAACGTAGAAACAACGTAAATACCGTAATCTAGCGAAAACCTAGAAACGTCGACCTACAAGCAACGTAGAAACAACCTGAATCACCTATAGTTGAGGCCTATAGAAACAACAGGTGTAGGCAGATTTGTCCTCAATATTCATCCACTTTCGTTGTCTCAAGCTTTGCACAGCTTAAACAGTTTTCTTTTCTGTTTGCTTGCTTACTGAGTATAGCAGCTTAGGGGCCCATGCATATTGTCACCCATCCGTAGATTTCATGTGGTGTGATTACTTTCAAAACAAGACGGTCGACACAGGCCTGAAAGGCTATCAAAGCTCGAAACCAAATTAAAATGAACGAACAAGGCCTGAAATAATGTAATTAAAGCTAATCACCAAATATTAATCTCGATAATTTTCTTTAAAATGGCTAAAGACACTCCAGAAACATGCGGTTGACGCGACACCTATGCCACCCAAGAAAGGCCGCCACCGCCTCGCCACGCAAGAGCGCCATTGCTCTTCCCAGAGTTGCCAATACATCGCTACACCTGAATCAGGTAAAACAATCTGACGTAACTCGCTGCAGTATTTCAACTGCCGTAAAAAGGAGAAAGTCGATAAAGCGCGGCACATGTCACACACCGATTTACACGTCCAAGTCCTTACTGTCCAGAGGGCCCACGATACAGCAGTCGGAGTTGGCCTGACTGCCCAACGTAGGAGCAGCCCACAGCGCGTTGAGTAGTGCGCCTTATGAGTAACAATAGAGTTTCCTATCCATCCATTCATACACCCTATTTGAAATCTACGGACGACTGCTACGCACTTGTAGTTTGTCCGCTACTCTGTGGTTGAGGTTACACGTATGAAAAATGAACATGCCAACGCATGATCAGTAACCATTATTACTAGCTGTCAATAGCTTCACCATACACTCCTGGTGCAGATCGCGACATCGTGCTGCATGCTCGCAATGGACGGACACCAACCGTCGGAGTCATCTGGCGCACGGCCGGACTGTCAAGAAGGTGAAGGACGTGGTCTGGTGTGCCGGGTGTGCCGACCGTGGTCCGCGCGGAGGCGCCGACCGGGCAGCCGGTGTTTCCGGGTGGGGGCGCGACGTGCGGACGACGACCAAGACGCTTCCTCGCCGAGGTCTTCGCCGCAGCCGTCGTGGTCGTCCGGCGACGGCGACTGGGAAGACCTGGCCGAACAGCGACGGTCGTCATCGTACCCTCGCGAGGTCCTGACGTCGCTCGAGTCCCTGTGGCGAGAGCGGACGCTATGCGACGTCGAGATCGACGCGTCCGGCGAAGGCGTCGTCCAGGCACACAGGTATGCGTGACATGTATGCGCTCATAAAACGCATTCGGACGTATCGTATAACTTGACTAATAATATTTTTCGGGTACTGCTCTACGTCGCATTTCGTGCTTTATACATGAGCACGACTGGCCACCACAAGTAAGCCGATCGAGCAAAGATAATGAGTTACTCCTTTGGTCCAAATGTGGTGGTCCTGGGACAACGAGCAGCTCCTATTTGCCGCCTCGGTATCGCGCACACCGGCCACCAGGAATACCAAGAATACTATAGACATTCGCAGTAGAGTTACTGTATATGCTACCTTTAGAAGGTAGCATATACAGCATCTTTAATTCGCAGGGCTTTATAGTTCGCAAAACACTTGAACGCGCTCAAGCATCTTTTCCTGCGCACCTTTCAGCGAAGCCTCACTATACGTCACCATAAGGCGCTTTGGGCAGTAATAAATATGTGTGACTTCCCTCCCCAACTCCTTCAAAAAAAAAGGCATGCGGGCTGCCGTTTCTACACGCTGCAGACTGTGTGTTCTGGCACTATTATTGCATCTATATAGAAAACATCTTTTGACAGAAGGCTTCAATGGGCGGTGCCCAAGGTGCTTTGAAGTATGCAAGAGCACACGGGGATTGCTTGAGATTTTTTTTTTCATTTTCTTATGGTTTCATTGCTACACCTTTTTGCATCTCTCGGGTTCCTTCCATGCCTGCCATCATGCGCGATTGAATGAATGGTGATCATGTGTTCTATGTTTCCGATAATAAGTTAATTTCAGTTGTAAATCAGCACTGATCCTCGTCGGTCCCTTGTCTGTTTCACGCGTCTGTTAGAGTCACCATAATTTCACCTGCATGAGTTACGGTATAGATATTCTTTGTACTGCCATGCCACAGTCCAGGATGGAGTTCTTTTATCTCTCTGGTGAAACTGTCTCGTACACGAGATAAGTTTTCCCTCCATCTGGATCCGCTCCTGGGCATGCGCAGAGTGGTGCTTGCGGCCGGCATTCCGTACTTCAGGGCCATGTTCACGAGCAACCTGCGCGAGTCGCAGGCGCACAGGGTCTCCATCAGGGGCGTCGGCCTGCGAGCCATGGAACTCATCGTGCGCTTCGCCTACACCGGTCGCATCGAAGTGGACGAGAAGAACGTCTGCCAGCTACTGCTCGCCGCCAACATGCTACAGGTATACAAGCTTGAATGTTACGTCAAGCTTTTCTTTTTTCATAAGAAAATTGGAGACGACAGTAAATTCTCAAAGGGCCACTCACCTCCCCGCGTTCTAAGACGGGGAGGCGGTTTTCTCCTGTCCTTCGCACACGTGACGCATCCTCCTCGCCCCCTTAGTTCTTAAAAGCGCGTAAACAATGTCAGCACTAGCCGCTAGAGCAATGCCACCTAGAAGAATACTTTCAAGCCTGCTCATTGCCGCCGTAACGTCACTCGTTTGGGCCGAGCGAGTGCACCTAAGGCAGGTTGCGAATCTATTGCTACCATCGTCTCCCGCTAAGATAAAAGCTTTTGCGCCAAGTTTTACGTGCTTAAAAGCTTTATTCTGCCCTTTGCGTCAAAAAAAGGCGCTTGTTTAAGATATGTATTACGCTTAAAAGCGTTTGTAGATTTATGAGTGAGCCATTTCTTTCACGAAAAAGTAAGAAAGATTGTGCGCGATCGTATGAATGCGGTGAATTTATCAGGTTAAGATTTGATGGTTAAACGAAGTGACGAAATGAAGTGACGACTCGCACTGGTGCGTAGTCGCTCATACTACTTTGGGCCTGGAAAAAATGTTAGTTCTGGGTCTAGATCAAACCGTGTGGCCGCGTGGGCACTTCTACAGCAATGCCGCTAGTTGGATCGCTATATTTGGTAGTGGTTCTTAAATATTCTAGCTTAAAGTAGAACTTACACACCAAAAAAAAAAACTAAAAAAGTGCTTTACCGTAAGTGTCTACAGACATCTCAATTTCAAGGAAACCTATTAAGCGAAGGTGCTGGCGAGAGTGGCGCAAAATTATAATACCGCAATAACCTGGTTGGAACGCCGGCAAGAAAACACTATGCACAAAACTGATACACTAAGCAATGCAAAAGCATCCCTTCCTTTTTTTTTTTCTGAACCAAGTAAACGAAGGTAACGCAACAAGTCCACGGTGCAAATCGCCAATAACAAAATGTTTACCAACGCTGAAGGGAAAACGCCTGTTCTGAAAATGTACTGCCACGCGCGTTTATCACTTTAATGCCAGGGCCGTGCCCAGGGCTTACGTTTACAAGTCAGAAACACACACGAAACACTTACTTTAGTGCAAGAACGGAACACGGTGGAGATGGTGCTACTATAGAACGACTTCAAAATACGAAGTACGGGCTAACGTACCTTCGGGTCACGAAGAAAACGGGATGTCGACGTCAGCTCGACGAACGAAACGCTACCGTTTCTTTCTTCGGTTGTCCTTGTACGGAAACGAGAACACTCGCAACTTTGGTCCGTTTGTCGCGAAAATTAGTCACGCAGCATTGTCCGACTGTCAGGATTAGAAGTTGTACGCATTGCGAACATCCAGCGCACAAAGCGCATCACGTATGGACGCTGCAGTTCTCGGGCGCGGGAAAGCACGGTCTTCTCTACCCCGTATTCACAAACGCCCCTCGACTCGACCTTCGCCCTTCACTTGACAGAGTTGAGCACTGCGCCACCTCTCGGCCAAAAATGATGCTGCGCTGCTCGAGAATCGCACCACCTTATTGCTGATATGCAGTGACTTGCCATGCCTAGGGAGGGCGCTTCCATCGGCGTTCTCAAGTGAAGGTGAAGCGTTGAGTGAAGGGACGTTCTAGAATACGGGGGTCAATCACCTACAAGCACTCCAACACGCCACGAAAGCGTTGGTCACTGCGTGTCCGTCGAGCGACGGGAGCAAGGCACGTCTGTGATAGCAAAACACGGCAAGTTAAACGAAGTGACGTCCGAGCCCACGGCCGATACAGTGACAAGCAGGCCAGGAATTATATAGGTGTCGTTGGCTAGGGCCTGTTAGGATACCCGCCGTTGGCGCCGCTTGCGCAGTTGTAAGCGCACCAAAAGAAGTGTTATCGGTTGATCGTGCACGATATTCACGTCAGACAAGGAAGAAAGGATGGGCGGATGCATGGCAAATGAATGCAGGAGACAAATCACGTTTGGTATTTCGCGTATATGGACCAATCAAGAGCAAGTACGCTACTGACGTCACGGGAACTATACTGCTTTCGTCACAAAAGTGCGCAAGAAGGAAAAGAAATATTGAGAGTATTCGTTTTTTTTTTCTTTTTGTATTTTGAGAGTCTGGTGAGTGTATTCGTTTTTTTTTCTTTTTGTATTTTGAGAGTCTAGTGAGTGGCCCTTTAGAAAAAAAAACGCAAAGAATAGGGGGAAATTTTGGCACACGGTCCATATAACGACATAATTATAGTAGGTGCGTTGCTTATAAATGTACTACGCTCGTAATCAGCCAAGCCTTTTTTTTTAAAATTACTGCTTTATTGCCAGATTCGAGGGTCTCATTTACTAATGTTCGAAGTTTGAAAGTCAGCCCGTCGACGAAAATCAGCTCTATTTTCGGAAAAAGGACGCGATTCCGTTCCCAGTCTATTCCGGGGGGTCACGAAAATGTGGAACGATTTCGGACTCATTCCGATTCCGAAGTGCGTGGCAACTCGCTTGTGTCGAGATTTGTGAAATCTTTAACGTTTAAATGACTTTACGGACGAAGGACAGAAAACGGGGCACGTCTGCTGCCTGCTCGCCGAGCTCCAGCCAATCAGCGGAGGCCCCTAGGCGGACACGTCGAGAATCGTGCCCCATGCATGCACATCGACAAATCGCATGACCTCTAATAGAGACAGCCTTTGCCTGCACTGCGATCTATATTGTCACGGGGTCGTGACTTTGGCGAGGGCTACAGTCGACGCGTTCAGTTTGAAACTCTTCATTTGGTCAATCTCGTTGCCCGGGGGGCGAGGGGGGGGGGGGGGGGGGACAAACTCCAACTATATATACGGCAAGAAATGCACGCTTTCTACCAACGCCGACTAAGTTTCAAGGCCTAAATGCTGCCGCAGTGACGTCAGAGGTTGGGGGCCCAGTTGCCCAACTGAGCATGCTCAGTAAGACTTTTTTCCACATCTTCCATTCGGCCCAATCAAGCCGCAGCAGCTGCGAGAGCGGGAGCATTGGTATGGTGGCTTGGTTCTCCTGAAACGTGAACGAAACGCAGGCTTTCCGCCGCGTTCGCGGCGTAACTGGGCCCCCACCCTCTGACGTCACTGCGGCAGCCTTTCGGCCTTGAAATTTAGTCGGCGTTGTTTCTACTGACATCGGTGATCAGAGTGTCGGTCGTCGAACATCTGATAATCGATGGGACGAGCCGTCTTATATACACCGCGCATAGAACTTTGAAGCCTTACCCCCGTATTCGCAAGCGCTCCTCGACTCTACTTTCACCCTTCAATTGACAGAGTTGAGCACTGCGCCGCTGCTCGGCTGAAAATGACGCTGCGCTGCTCGATAATCACACCACATTACCGCTGATATGCAGTGACTTACTGTGCCTAGAGAGGGCGCTTCCACCGGCTTTCTCAAGTGAAAGTGAAGAGTTGAGTGAAAGGCCGTTGAGTTGAGTGAAGGACGTTGAGTGAAAGGAAGAGTTGAGTGAAAGTGATATGGGGGGTTAACCCTGGTAATCGCCCAAACTCTGGATTAACCCTGACGGCGTGACTGTTCCGTGTCTTGCGCGCAATCGTAACAAAGCGACCAACTACAATCGTGAAGTTTCTCGAACAAAGAGGCACGGCCTGCACCGCGCATTCCTGACAGTTTTTGTGGGCGTAAACAGAGCAAAATTGAAATAAGAAAATCACGTGGAAATATTGCGCGCTGTGAATTGGGGATCGCGTATTGGGCGGATGCTTTCTTTTGTTTACTTCAATCGTGTAGCGCTACATTGTCCCTCTTGATTTTAAATGGGAGGAAATATCTCAGCGCAGCCCAACGCTGTTAAAAGTGAGTGGCGGACGACGGATTTTGTGACTAGCCGTACTACTCATTAACTGGCAGCATTCATTTATGGCGGTTAAGCAGTGTTTTATGCTGGTTAAACGACTATTGATATTGGCTACATTATGAATAGATGATTGGATTACCTAAGCGATGAGTAATTTCGGTTACTTTATGTTAAATTACGGTAAGCGTTGAGTATAGTGTATACGCTATCTGCAATAACGACAGAAACAAAGTCGTCATTCTATATCAATCCAGTGATGTTCTCATTAACGCGAAGACGTTGGTTCCGACTCCATTTTTTTTTCGCTTCATGCATGACATTCGACAATGAACAGTACGTATTCTTTCGGGAACCTTTTAGTATCATGGCAATACCGATCATGGATATCGTCGAAAACCATCATCAGTAACAATCTTGGTCACGTGCACGCCTCTACGCACGCGAGATAAGTGATTATTGGGCGAGTGTAACATGCATCGAATACAATCTTTATTTCTAGAGCGAGGGAGAGGCATGCTAACCGAACTGGTCTGGCGATGTCTTCCTTCTTTCCGTTCCGCGACGATTCAGAAACTATTTAACAATATTTTGCATCATGTCGTAATTATTAATTAATTGGGAAAAGACTGCTAGCTATTCCGTTTGCGAAGCTAGATTTAATCATCATCATAATCATCATCAGCATCATCAGCCTGACTACGTCCACTGCAGGACAAAGGCCTCTCCCATGTTCCGCCAGTCAACCCGGTCCTGAGCTTGTTGCCACCAATATATACCCGCAAACTTCTTAATCTCATCCCCCCACCTAACCTTCTGTCTCCCCCAAACCAGCTTGCCTTCTTTAGGAATCCAATTAGTTACCCTTAATGACCAGCGATTATCCTGTCTACGTGCTACATGCCCGGCCCATGTCCATCTCCTTTTCTCGATTTCAACTATGATATCCTTAACCCCCGTTTGTTCCCTAATCCACCCTACTCTCTTCCTGTCCCTTAAAGTTACACCTTCCATTTTTCTTTCCATTACTCGCTGCGTCGTCCTCAATTTACGCTGAACTCTATTTGTAAGTCTCCAGGTTTCTGCTCCGTAGCTAAGTACCGGCAATATGCCGCTGTTATATACCTTCCTATTGAGGGATAGTGGCCATCTACCTGTCATGATTTGAGAGTGCTTGCCAAATGTGCTCCACCCCATTCTGATTTTTCTAGTTACTTCAACCTCAGAAGAGAGCAGCGCTTCGGGATAGGTAATAGTGCCCTTGAAGTTGTAAAAGACTACGTCTACTTAGGGCAGGTAATAACCGCAGAGCCGAACCACGAGATTGAAGTAACTAGAAGCTAGATTTAAATTAGGTTTAACCACAGAACTCTTCTAAATTCCGGTGTCTCCGTTTTGGGACATTGCCCCAGGGACGTATTCGATGCTGTGTGTAATTTCATTGAAGCCACTAAACGTGTTCCAACATAACGTTCACTTTAGAGGGCCAGTCAACCGGCTCCATTTTTTCTTTTTTTTAGCAGTCCCCAAAGAAGCTCAGCAGTTTGTAAAGGAGATCACGACAATTATGTTTTCCGAATATTACAGTGTTGCACACCGCACAAAGCTCGCATTACGAAAAATGATTCCCGCCGCACTCCTTTCATACGCCTGACCAATCCTCCTTTTACGCGCCGTGACGCAAAGCCGCCAATCGGCGACTTGACGTAGCACGCAGTTCGTCGATTGGTCTAAACCAGTTACGACGACTGCAACGCCTTCCCCTCCCTGAGAGAGAGAAGGTGTGGTGAGGCCGCGCGAAAATTTGAAACCAGCTAATACCAATGTTCGCGCCCCCTTTCGCTTAATACGGCACGTATTCGCAAAATTCTTGCGGCAGCCCGATCACAAAGCAATAGCGCACATATTTCTCTTTATAACAATTTTTGAATCTCGGGATTGTTTACTGGTCTTTTAATAATTAGTAAAAAACACTTGTAAGGTAATTTTTAAAATGTTACAAAATGTAGAGCATACATCCCAAATTAACCAGGTCAGGTAAACATTGCTGTATCGTCGCTCCAAACATGAAATTATCGTTCTTGTAATAGCACTCATTTACTTTCTTATTTTGTTTCTAGTCAATTATTTTGTAATAGTTTTTACATTATCTTTGTTGGTAAGCAATAGTGTCGTTACTATCCATATGTTACTATATTATCTTGGCCAATTCTCTAGAGTGAGTAAATTTACCATAGTATCCAGGCTAGAAATAAGCGAAATCGTTCCACTGTTGTCGCAGTGCATGGCTATCGTTGTGGCCGAACGCATTGATGTACATGTTCTCTCTCTTTCCCGCGTGGTGGGGACAGTGGAAGTGATTCTCCGAGCGGCACCGTTTTTAGGTGCAACGCATAACAAACGCCTGCTGCAGATTCCTCGAGCGCCAGCTGGACCCTTCCAACTGCATCGGCATCGCAGAGTTCTGCCAGCAGCACCACATACGCGAACTGCAAGACCGCGCCGAGCGCTTCGCCGAGCAACACTTCTCAATGGTGGGTACCCCACGTTACAGTATACACGTACGCGCAGATCCTGCGTTATTCGGTGTAACCACGGTGTAAGAAAAATAATGATTGATTTGTGGGGGTTTAACGTCCCAAAACCACCATATGATTACGAGAGACGCCGTATTAAAAGGCTCCGGATATTTCGACCACCCGGGGTTCTTTAACGTGCACCCAAATCTGAGCACACGGGCCTACAACATTTCCGCCTCCATCGGAAATGCAGCCGCCGCAGCCGGGATTCGATCCCGCGACCTGCGGGTCAGCAGCCGAGTACCTTAGCCACTAGACCACCGCGGCGGGGCGGTGTAAGGAAAATAATTTAGGTGTGGACACTCTCCGCCCAGCGCGACGGAGTGCGCGTGCAGATATTTGTTCAGCTCTAGTACATGCGTCGGCCGCAGTTGCGTCGGGGGCGCTGCGACATGGGGGCAGAGAGGATGAAAGAGGCGAACATTATCTGGACGCGCCGTCGGGCGAAGTGTTCACACCTAAATTATTATTTGTCTTACACCGTGGGTATAACATCGAGAAACAAAATGCGGGCAGATTGCGTTAGTGGTGCATATAGTTGGAAAATAAATCTGAGCTTGTGGCCAGGTTGGCCACAAGCTCAGAGCCTGCTAAGTCGTTGCTGTAGGCTTGGCTGGCATTGCGAGACTAGCAAGGCTTTGCTATATGTAGCGTAGAAGTATATTAATTGGTAGTCCGTGTGTACTAGCGCTCCCCTCCAAAGTATGAATTTCCAACTCGCCCAAGAAACAGCACTCTTTCAATGAAAAGTTTAAAGGAAAGAAAGCACGCCTTGTGGGGGGAAGCAAAACGTTACCTTCAATCCGTTGCACCTCCCTTGATGCGAAATGCCTCGCTTAAATTTCGGCGCGGATTATTTGCTCTGGCCACCACTACCGTCTTGAACTTCACTTTCGCAGAATTTCTTCGAAAGGACGGCGACGAATGTCCACTGAAAATACCCCAACTCATCGCTCGATCGCATCCGTTCACACACACACACACAAAAAAAAAAACCCACACTGTGCCTTACGTGTTCGCCTATAAGATGAATCAAAGGCAATAGTAGTCTTGGTCTCTACCTTAGTGAATTGTATCGCGGTCATCCCCATAACCCAACGAAAACTGTCTGCACTTCACGTACCCCTTGCACTCAGTGCCTCCGACATCAGCCTACCTTTGACCAAGCAACGACGTCATGTGATGACGTCAGCATGCGACATCACTTCATGCGACGTCACCGCACCGTCGAAGTGACATCACAAATTTGGCGCATTTTTGGTGTTATAGTGACATTGATTTATTTGATATGTGGGGTTTAACGTCCCGAAACCACCATATGATTGATTACGAGACACGCCTTAGTGCAGGGCTCCAGAAATTTCGACCACCTGGGGTTCTTTAACGTGCACCCGAATCTGAGTGAGCACGCGGGCCTACAGCATTTCCGCCTCCATTGGAAATGCAGCCGCCACGGCCGGGATTCGATCGCGCGACCTGCGGGTCAGCAGCCGAGTACCTTAGCCACTAGACCACCGCGGCGGGGCGTTATAGTGACATGATATAGTGCCTTCAGCGCATGATGATAATTTACGTGTTACTCGTGTTGACGATAGCTTTTCGCGTTTCATGAAGCTTGCCGGCCGGCGCGGTTCCTAACGTGGCCCACCACGTACGCAGGTGTGTAGACTGGACGAGTTCCTCTCCCTGCCGCGGCCCCGGCTGTTCGAGCTGCTGCGCAGGGACGGTCTCAACGTGAGCAGCGAGGTCGAAGTGTACGAGGCCCTGGTGCGCTGGGTGCGCCACGACGAGCGCCGGCGCGCCGGAGACCTCGAGCGCGCCCTGAAGAAGGCGGTGCGCTGCCACCGGCTCGCTCCGAGCTTCCTGCGACGTCAGCTGGCCCACTGCGCCCTCCTGAGGGACACGCCCGGCTGCGCCGACTACCTCGCGGACGTGGTGCGGGTGAGTGCTCCCTGACTTGATATGGCGTGTGTACCGCGTCAATTGATTGATTTATATGTGGGGTTTAACGTCCCAAAACCACCATACGATTACGAGAGACGCCGTGGTGGAAAGCTCCGGGAATTTAGACCACCTAGGGTTCTTTGCCGTACACCCAAATCTGAGCACACGGCCCTACAACATTTTCGCCTCCATCGGAAATACAGCCGCTGTGTACCGCCTCAAGGCAGCGCGCGTTTGTGCTGCCTTGGCACCGGCTAAAAACAGTGCACTCGAAACTCGTTTGTGCTGCATTGAGAACGCGGTGGAAAGAACTCAAGTCGAGGAGCATTTCTGAGCACGGGGCTAATACAAAAACCTCGCCGCCACTTCCCTCCTTCGTCTGAGGCAACCGAATCAGTAAACATAGCAACAGCTATTTCAATACATAAGTTGTAGCACTTGTTTCCAAAACGTCGGAACATTTCATCTATGCTATAACTGTCAATCTTCAAACTGGGTAATTAAAAATTACTGCTAAATAACCCTCGAAATTTTCATTTTAGCAACTTTTCAGCAGAAAAGTGCAATGCTTGTTAAACAACGTCGGAATATTTCTTTTATGATAAAACGGCTGCCCTGTTTAATATTTTTTCTCCGTCTCACTGAGTTAGAGACCAGTCGGGATGCACACAACGACATCAAGCAATTTTACCGATAGAACGCCGCATCCCCCCCCCCCCCCATCCGAAACTTAACAGACCACAGGCGCTATAACCCTACGCCTATTACGAACCCACACGTATACCCAGACCTTGCCAAGCTTCGCGTTTACTATCCCGATGCGTACCCCAGCGACACGTGGCCCGCAGGCGGACACACGGTGACTCTTGCGCACATGCTCCGAGTGTGTAGAAACGCCCCTTCCGACTACCTCAAACAAGTGGGAGAGGTCCCTCGGAAGCCCACTTCACGCCGAAAAGCAATGGGCCGTCCAACAGGCCCACGATGCGGCAGCCAGGTACTCCTTATCGGTCCCTTCGTGGGAGACGCCCGCTACGCGCGTCCTGCAGGACAAAAATAAAGTTTTTCCATTCCATCTCTTCTTTCGCGTGCGCTAAATTAAACAAAAAACGCATTTAGCGCAAGTCACCCAGTGGCGGCGCCAGGGGGGGGGGGGGGCACGAAGGGGATGGAGCCCCTCCAAAACTTTCGCCTTGCCGTGCCTCTGCAGGACCTGACCTCGCACCGAGGCTGCAGCTGCTGCGGCGAGCGATGTCCCAGCGTGCCGTCCCTGCTGTACGTGGCCGGCGGCTACCTGCGCCGCTCGCTGAACACGGTGGACTGCTTCAGCGCCGAGTCCGACTCGTGGAGCGCGCTGCCGCCGCTGCCCTTGGAGCGGAGCGGTCCCGGAGGCGCCTTCCTCGGAGGACTGCTGTACGTGGTCGGCGGTCGAGTGCTCCGGCCGCCCACCGAACTGGGCGAGGACGTGCCCGTGGTGCACTGCCTCGACCCGGCGCGCAACTGCTGGAGCGAGCGCTGCCCCATGGGCGTGCCGCGGCACAGGCTGGGCGTCGCCGTGCTCGACGGTCTACTGTACGCCGTCGCTGGATCACACGGCACCAACTGCCTCAGCAGCGTCGAGAGGTGAGAGCCGTTCGATGAGTCGAGCAAGCTGCCTTGCCGAACGAGAACTGTAAACCATGGTGCAAGAATACTTTAAGGCGTGCGAACGCCTCGAAGCAAGCGCTTGGCGGGGAGGGGCCGAGTATGTTCTAGTTCGCGGCCTGCCGACAGATGGCACGCCGGACTGAGGACCGTGGCGGGCTGCTGGCAAATTCCGCAAAGCACATCTGATACGTGGGCGATGGCTTCCAAATATGAGAATACCGGGTTCTCGCGCGATATCAACCACGCGACACGACAAGAGCGGCGCCACGAAAGAGGGTTGACGGTGCGGCAGGGGTGTTGTTTCCTACACCAAGAGGGGGGGGGGGGGGGGTTAAGCCGGGACAAAGTTTGTAGCGTCATCTCTCGGGCTCCTTGCGAAGCAGAGCATTATCGGGCAGCAGATAGTCCCGGAGTTCACTCACCTAAAGAATTCTTGCACCGTGCTGTTAACCGAACACTGTCATTGACGTATTCAACAAACAGCGCGCAATCGAGCAGACGACAAATAAAACTGCGAGACCCTTCGCCGAAATACTAAGAGCGTGTTGTTCACTCCTGGCACTTCCCGTCTTTGCGGCACGATTCGTGACGTCGGAAGTCTGTTCCCGTGACGTCAGGACGAAGTAAGCTTTCGATTGGTCGGTGTGTGAGATATATCGGCTGTGAATTATCGCCTATACCCTGCTTTGTCATACGCAGTCGAATGTCCGTTCTGCCTCTTCTCGCACCGTCTATCATGCGCGAGAAACTTTGACTTCACTTCGCTTTCTGCGTTCGCGACAGCGCAAGCGGAAACAGCGGCGTGTACAGAGGAAAAGCGCAAAATCCTGACTGTCTCAACGCCTTCTGTTGCCATGCCTCGTGTTTCACGAAGAAATAAGTGGAGAGGGAGAGGAAGCGCTTGTGGGGAGGGTAGCGATGGCGAGAAAGAAACTACTTCCCTTTCAACTCAGTCTGGTTCAGGGGCCCTTTAATAGCTGAGCGCGATAACGATTCCGCACACACGCACACACTATCGACTCCCCAACCGCCAGCCTGCCTTCGCTTCTCGGCGGACACCTAAAATGTGCCGCAGGGAAAGCCAAAATGCAAACGCCCCCCCCCCCCCCGGCTCTTCTTTTTTTTTTCTTGTTTAATTTTCAACTACCTCGAATTTTCTCTCGCGGCCGACGCAGCTTTTTCGCTCACTACCAATGACGCCGTCAACACCGGAATTTTCGCGAAACAGTCTCTTCAACAATGCCACGTCAAAAGCGCTTCGCTGTGCAAGTTATGCAAGTGAAAGACAGTACGGACAAAACAGCGAAGTCAGGGCACCGCAAGTGGCGACTAAAAAGCTGAAGAGGCACACAACGTCTAAGAAAGATGGCAGCCAGAAAATCTTATCCGCGCATGCCCAGGGAAGAAGCCATGGAACCTATCGAGGTTTATACTTGTGAGGCATGACTGTTCAGACACTTGATTTCTTTATGCAAGTCTCTCTCTTCAACATGAGCACCTACCAACTTTAGCTCTAACCCTCTTTGTCCGTAGCCTGCTCTAGCGCCGTTTGTTGAAGGTGTGTATGGTCTTCATCAGCCTGACCACGCCCTCTGCAGGACAAAGGCCTCTCCCATGTTCCGCCAGTCAATTTGGTCCTGTGCTTGCTGCTGCCACTTTATACCGGCAAACTTCTTAATCTCATCTGCCCACCTAACTTCCTGTCTCCCTCTCCCCGCTTGCCTTCCCTGGGAATTCAGTCAGTTATCCTTAATGACCAGCGGTTATCCTGCCCACGCGCTACATGCCCGGCCCATGTCCATTTCTTCTTGATTTCAACTATGATATCCTTAACCCCGGTTTGTTCCCTGATCCACTCTGCTCTATTTGCTCTCTTCTTGTCCCCTAGGATTAATCCTACCATTTTCCTTTCTACGGCTCGGCTCGCTGCATCATCCTCAACTTAAGTTTAACACTCTTTGTAATGCTCCAGGTTTCTGATCCGAAGGTAAGTGCGGTAATATGCCGGTAAGTACCGGTAAGATGATTGTGCATATATATTACCATCTTAACTATAATCTGAAACCTCGCCATTAAAGCATCCCTGAGTCATTCAAAGGTCGAAACTTTGTTGTGGTGCTGCAGTTGTGCACGAGTCCACGTAGCCACGAGTATTTTTTTTTTCGGTATGATCGATCAATAGCCGAGACTAACTGGAAACACAACTCTCGCCCGTATCACTCATTAACAGAAAACCAGGGGCCGTCCCAAGCATAGGCATGACTCAGGAAGAGGGCAAGCAGCCACACCACCCAATGATCTAAGCAGAGCGCCAAGTCTACACCGCAACCTATACGTCTGTCAGACCTGCTCCGCCATTGTTCGTTGTGCAGGGATAGGGCCATGCACCCCTTTGATGATGATGGCGATCCAGCACAACTGATGTTACATTTGAAGAACTGTTCACTTCCGTGAGCGTCGGCAGGATGTTGCCTTCGGCAATGCAAAGCCGTTTTGCAGCACGGCTGGAGAAGGGGAGAGCACTTGTGTAGCTTGGGTGAGAGGAAGTGCTGGTGAGGCTTGAGGAGAGCAAGTCCCTCTTTTGCAACCCCCTCCCCCCCCGATGCCAACGCTCTTGTTTTACTTCCCACCGTTGAAGACTTGGAAGTCGGGGACCAAAGGCAGGTCATTGGGAGAATCCCTTCATCACTTTCATTTTTGCAACCACAGCTCCGCTTATTTCTCAGATTCGACCAATGAAAACGGGAGATGGAAAAGTGCTGCAATGACACTTGCCCCCCCCCCCCCCCCCCGCCAAACGAAGGACTCTGCGCACGCCTATACTGCTAATCCATAAGGGTGCACATTACAGGGAGGAGGTATAGGGAGTGGTCACCCTCCCTCTTAATCAACAGACCGGAACGCCAAGTGCACTCAATATCTTTACTCAGTCGTACCTGCTGCATCATCTTTGAAGTGCAAGATTGTGAGCCGAGCAGGCTTTTGACAATAACGGCAGCCGAGGACCACTGATGTCGCATTCCAAGAAATGTTTTCTTTTTCATTTTCACCTTCGGAAAGTCGAGGACCAAAGGCAGACCGTCGTGAGAAGCACGTCATCACTTCAAGGCCATTTTTGAAAGCATTTGGGAAGCTTGTTTTTCTCGAAAACGACCGAAGGGAGGAGGGTTGGGGGAGACGCCACGGTTAGAGTTACTGTGTATGCTCCCTAAAGGTAGCATATACAGTAACTCTAGCCGCAGTGATACTACGCCCCCGCTAATGAAGGAAGGAAGGAACAGGAAAGAAAGGAAAGTCAGGAATGTTAACCAGTCCAGAAGGACCGGTATGATACGCAACAGTAAGGGATCCTCCGCACACCTACGGTTGGAACCGATAGGTTGCTCTGGCCTGCATGGTTATAGGAACTCGCTGGGCGCTGTACACTTTGCCCCTACGGGAGGCGGGCGCATTATTCGGTTGGCCACCGTGTTGCTGCAGGTACGACCCGTCGACGGACGAGTGGACAAGCGTGGCCAGCCTGTCCCTGGCGCGGTACGGCCTGGGCGCTGCCGTCGTTCGGCGGCGGCTCTACGCCGTGGGCGGCTGCGACAGCACCACGAAGTTCGGCACGGTCGAGCGATACTGCCCCGAGCTTGACCGCTGGGACGTCGTGGCACCCCTGAAGGTGCCCCGCAGCGGAGCAGGCGAGTCACTACGCTTTCCACATCCTCATATCACTGCTTTTACGCGAAAGCTGCTTAAATCTACCCTATGCCATCGTCGTCGCCGTAGTAGTAGTACTAGTAGTAGTAGTAGTAGTAGTAGTAGTAATAGTAGTAGTAGTAGTAGTAGTAGTAATAGTAATAGTACATGAGCGAACTGGTCTGGTTGGTACATCGCTAAGACTGGAACACAGTGTTATAGATTATAACAGTTCACACCGTGCCCTATTGATCTCGATAGAGCACGATCAGGATGAAAGTTCCCTATGGTGATTGACCCCCTTGTGCAGCCTGCGTATACGGGAGCCAATCGCGATTGTGAAATGTCTACAGGCGCGAGACCGATTTTAGACACAGCACGGTGATGAAGAGACGTCTGTCTGTCTTTCACCGTCCCGTGCCCAGAGCTGTTTGTGTAGCAGTAGCAGTCACGCAGGTCATGTCAGCAAAGAGGGGAGTGAATAAATATAACTAAATTATGATAAAGATGCCAGCGAATCACATACATTTGCACGCTTACAGGTTGACTCTCCAACGACTTTCAAGGCGTGGAAATTACTGAGTTCTTTCAGCAGTTGTTGGCATTCCTATTTACAATAAGTGACGCTCCAAGCCAACTTCAGATCAGTCAATACCATACAGGAAGCGTCCGACAACATAAATACAAAAAAACCTCAATCACACCCAAGTGTTCGCGACAGAACTTCACTATCAGCGGGATTTCGGTTAAAGCGACATTAACTTCAAAATTATGCGAACAAGCGTCGGAGAGTTGTAAGCGTATTTTCTCACAACACAATAAATTACAGTCACACCGAAGTGATTTGGACAGGACGCGAACTTTGTTTCAAGCGATATTTTGTTCAAAGCGAACGTGCTCCTATTGAAATGCAGCGACGCGGGACTTGCGTTAACACAGTGCGTGAAATTAAAAACAAAATTACACCACCTTCCACTGAAGGGAAGCATGTGGGTTTGCGAAGCAGGGGTGTTCACTATAGTGCTTCCATTCGTATGTTTCCGTGTATGTTTCGTTTGTGTGGAGTTGTGTATATGTTGTGTGCCGCTTATGTTGCCCCCTCCCGTCTGTGTTTATTACCGTGTGTGTGCCGCAAAGTGAACGCCAAGTGCTACTAGGAGAGTGCAACGGAGCATTATTTACGAGCGCACATCTGTGGCAGAGAGATGAACGGAAGAGGAGAAACGAGGCAGAGGCAGCGCTCTGCCACCTCCTCCCACTTGCACGCGCTCACGCGAGGAGAGGGATATTGTTGGCGCATGCGCAGTGGGAAGCGGACGGTCGCCAAGGGACAAGCATAGCCCCGAGTATAACCTGCTTCGCATCTAAGAAAACACTTATCGAGACATGATAGCGCGTGCAGCCGTTTCGTCTGTCTGGTATCAGTACACTATATAGCCAGGCCCAGGCAGAGTTTAATAATAATGAACTATAGAGGAAAACTAGGTGCTAGCGTCTATGGGAGCTGAAACGTGTCGCGATCAAGCCAGCGTAGGAATGATGGGTAGTACATAGATTGCGTAAGCTTCGTTTTTTCCGCTCCACGTGGCATGCAGCTTCTTTGTCCCAAGACGAAGGTCAGCCGAATTTCAGCGTCGCAGTTCGGTTTCTTGACCCTCTTATTGCGATAGAAGTTATGCAGACAACCAGGGACATAGGCAGAAATTTTTCGGGGGAGGGGGGGCACCACCTTGTTTTTACCACCTTTTTCTTAAGTGGGGGCCGGGCAGGCAGATGTGGTCGATTGTCATGGCAAACGAAATTACGAGTGGGAGAACACAGACCTGGTGGGCCACCCCCAGCTATGCCATTGCAGACACCTTGGAAAGACTCTCGCCGTCGCCGTCATGTTCCGTATAAAGTCAAAATCGGTAAACATTCCTTCGCACATCGTATGTTCTGACCGCGAGTAAAAGAGCGCGAGCGCTGGGGACGAACGTGGCTGCAGCAGAGATTACACAAGGCGCCTATCTAAGCCGCACGGAGGGCACATGCGATAGCATTATCCTGCGTGTGAGACGTACCTTCGATTACTTTATAAACAGAAAGAAAAACAAAACAAGCACGCGTTTTTCCCAGAAATAAGGAACATGAAGAGATGCCGGGGTGTAGGTCGAAGGGGGATGCGACGCTTGAGTTGGTTCTACAAACGCTGGCTTGAGCAGCATGCAAGACCAAAACGGCCTGTCATGTATAGGATGGATGGATGGATATGGATGGATATGGATGGATGGATGGATATGAATGGATATGGATGGATGGATGGATGGATATACGCTCCCTAGAACAGCGACCCCTGCAGCAACTGCGAACTTTGATCATAACGGCGCGGTCGCGACCGTGTTGAGACAAGAGCTCTTCTCACCCTGCAGCGCAGTGGGGTAGCCAGAGGATGGCAGACCGGGCCGGTGCCCCTCCGCCATTCTCTGATTTTTTTTTTTTTTTGCGGTGGCACACCGAGCGGAAAATTACCCTTTCTAGGACGTGTTTTACGGCCCCCCCCCATACACCCCGAAATAAAAAAGGTGTCTCCTCCCCCATCCCGAAAAATATTTCTGCCAACGCCCCTGCTGCAGAATTTTATTCCATTACACCAGCGTTTTGAAGAGTTACGCGACATAGGACCCAAAAGAATTAGCCGCTAGACTTACTTCGCCTAACATTTGAATTTGTCGCTATTGCATTTTGCCCCGCCGCCATGGTCTAGTGGCTAAGGTACTCGGCTGCTAACCTGCAGGTCGCGGGATAGAATCCCGGCTGCATTTCCGATGAAGGCGGAAATGCTGTAGGCCCGTGCGCTCAGATTTGGGTGCACGTTAAAGAACCCCAGGTAGTCGAAATTTCCGGAGCCCTCCACTACGGCGTCTCTCGTAATCATATAGTGGTTTTGGAACGTTAAAGGCCAACTCCGGCGATTGTTTTACCACGAAAGCATAATGGTGCTTTTATGTTACTTGGACACTTTTCTCACGCGCCCGATAACAGAAATTCTAAAAAATCGAAAATAACATTTAATTGCCGAAAAACCGCAATACCGAAACCGAAACACAACCACGTGCGCTTCTACGTGTGACGTAAAGATTTGCCTGACGCTGCCGGAATCTGCCTGATTGCACATAATGCCCGCTAGATGACACTACCTGTCCACGCCACCCGCGGCGATCAGCTAAAACGCTTGCGCTGTTATGGTGAATATATGGCGAATCGTGTGTGGCTCACAACGCAACACCACTTGGCACGTATCCAACACCAAAGAAGCGCATGCCAAACTACAGTGTACTAGAAGCCACTTCTAGTACTCTATCCAAACCCACACAATACATAGCAGACAAGCAGACGCAGCCTGAAGTGGCACATCAGCTCGTCGACTTCCGCCAGGCAAAACTCAACGTCACACACACAATGTTGCCATTATTCTTGGCAAGCGAGGTGAGCGTTTCGAGGCAAGCTATAAAATTCATGTGAACAGAATCTGCGAAACTCCGAAGCCTGCAATTTGGCATCAATGGCGCAAACGTGCAAATTAACGTACCCAGTGAACTTTAATGAGATCCACTGACCTCGAAAAATCGCCGGAGTTGGCCTTTAAACCCCACATATCTGTCAAAAGTCGCTATCGCATTTAATTGCTTCGCCCACGAGACGAAACTGCGACTTTTTTGGGCGTAGACCAGCTCACGAGGTAGACAACGAACCATTATTCTAATCAAAACGAGCGCCACCACACAACAGTAAACAAAGCCACGGTTGCGCTCCAAGCCCGAAACCGGAAGAGTAGGCAAATTTGAGTATATAAAAATACTACCACGGTGGTTGAGCAATCCTAGCGAATGGCGGCCAAAATTTTACGGACCGCGGGAGCGCTTGTCAAACTAGAGTGCCTTGATGCGCGCGCGGGGGCATCAAAGCGCCCTAGTTGGACACGCGTTCCCGTGGTCCGCAAAATTTTGACCGCCACTGAACACGTGTCCATCTTTGGGAAAGGGAACACGCGAGCATACGCCCTGCGCTCTGGCGCGGCTGCCGACCTTTATCTGCCGGCTGCACAATCAGCCGACAGATAAGAAAAGCGCGACCGCTTTTCACGGCATCGCCCGTTGCACGATCTTGCAAGACCGAAGAGGGAGCGCAATCTAGCAGCGCTTCTCCAACGGCCATGGCGTGTCGTTTTGTTCGTGACGCGAAACGAACGCGCTTTCCTTATCTGTCGGTTAATGGTGCTGTATGTGGCCGCGCCGGAGCGCAAGCCAAGCACAGACGTGTGTGTTCCCTTCCATAAAAAAGGGGAGTGATTGTACAGCCCACGGTGCCACGGAAGAACTCTTCATGCGTCGCCATCGTACCGGCCCTTAATCAACCGAAGTAGCCGAACCCGCTGTAAAAATACACAATTTTAAACCAATTGACGTTGTTACCTGACTACATCTAGCTGAGCCGCGCACTCACCGGTTTCCTATGGTTTCTCCAGTTTCACCAGCTGCATTCGCTCATTAGGTGTACGTTGTAACCAGCTGAGTTCCGTCACTTGACGCACACGTATACCGCAACTGCTTCTCCAAATTCACCCAGATTATCACGTTATCACCGAGACCCAGGTTACGCCTACGTCGTAAAAAGAATCGCCAAGCGGTCACGCACTACGCTAAGACAGTTCACTTTTGAATTAGGTTGTCTGCTCTCTCCATGGCTCTCTCATAGAGTAACCTTTTATATTACTCTATGTCTCTCTCTTTTCCGTGTCTTCGACCAATGACGCAACGGCGGCAAGGGCGCCAACCGGAAACTCGGGTTCTTGCGGGAATTGTAGTTGTGCTTAGTAGTGCACACTATCACCAGCGCGGAGTGACCCACAAGAGCCACAGCAGCCGTGTTGTAACTTAAAGACTGTCCTGCCACTTTTTGAATGCGTTTTAGAAACAAAGGCGGCGCTAAAGTCGGTAAGCGGTCAACAATGCGCTTATAA